TCATCACTTTGGGTCACACTATTTCATTTACGGTTAAATTCAAACCAGGCTTTGTGTAGTACTGTACCCTCTGGGGCTTTATGTGCTTTTAATTCTAAAAGCCGATAATACTTCTTAATCAAAAATAAACGATTACGTTTAATAGATTGAGGTGGACATAACTTAGTATACTCAATAAAAGATGCCAAATTGTCTTCAGATTGAATACTTCATTTATAGTAACCATTTTGTGCTTTATCAAAGTAAATAGCACCACCAAAATAAGTAATAAAATGTGCTACATCCACATATAGTTTGTTAGTTACACTTAAAGTTAACTGTGGTTGAAGGTAAGGACCTTTAAGGTAATAACCAATAGTACCATCAGCATCAAAAAACCCAGCAAACCAACCATGTTGGTTGTGTAAAACATCAGGGCTTAAAAGTTCAAAACCTAGTACAGTACATACACGATTAAGTTGAACTAATCGACTACTGTGACGAATATATCCGTTTATACGATTTACCAAATCTATCATACCAGATCTATTGTGTAAACGTCAACGGATAGCACGAACACCTGAACGAGGTTTAATAGAACCTCCCAGTTTGTTCTGGATAATACGTAACATACGTTCATCCACAAGAGCCACAGTAATTTCACAACTAGAATATCCTGCTTTGCTAACTTGTAAACTCCCGTCTCCATCAATAAGACCAGCTAACCATTGATTGAAACGAGTTTCTTTTGAATCAAAGGATGTTGCGCGTGTAGTCTCTGAGGTTCCTACTAAATGAGAAGAATAACTTCTTTCGTTCGTTACCGGCTGATTCCATTTACGTATCTGTGGGATTTTTACCATAGCGGCTCAACATCAGTTGAGACTTACACCATTAGTACCTATAGATCCTAGATGGTCCCAGCATATAGCGCAATTCGAATCTAAGATTTCTCCTAAAAAGGGCCATGTTCGACCAAAGAATCCACTTCTTCAAATTTAACTTTCCTAAGTCTCTTGTTAAATCCAGGTACTGGTAATCCCAG